GGCGAGCGGCGTCGCCGCTGCTGCCGGCGGCGTTGCGGCTGTGGCCAAGATGGTCGACGGCCAGGCCTCGTCGTCGTCGTCGTCGTCGTCGGAGCAGAAGGCTGCTGCGGGCGCATCGGCCAAGACGCCCATGTACGACTACCCCAAGGTCGTCGAGTACGACGACATGCCCACCAAGAGTAAGTCGGGCGCGCGCGCGCGCGCGTTGCGGCTGTGCCTGGCACGCCTCGCGCAAAGCAGAAGTGGCCACCCGCTGACACTTGGTCCGAACCTTTCTCCCTCCTCGCTCTGCTCCGCTCCGCCGTGTTTGCTACGAGTAGCCCCCATGTACCACATGGACAGGATCGTCTAGACGACGACGACGGCTCGACACGCGTCCTCTCTCTTGTCAGGCACGTATCGAGGTACAGACTCGTGGACGGAGGGCCGCCCATGTCGAACCCGTAGATGGAGGCATGCAGAAGATGAAGTGAATCGATGTCGATCGGCGTGAGATGATGGACGATGCAGAAGACGTGTATGGACAAAGCGAAAGGGTCGTGGACGAGGTTCGAGCTGCGCCGCTCTACCTGCCTTTATCCACTTTGCTCGGAGCCAGCCAGGCCCAACTGAGGGACCTTTGCAAGGCGGCGACGGGCTAGAAGAACTGCATCTCGCCCTCGTCGTCCTCGTCGGCCCTGACGGCGGCCCGGAGGGCCTCTGCGTCCCTGCCATCCATGCCAGCCGCGGCGGTACCACCCCGTCTCCTGGCCAAGATCCTGTCCGAATACTCTTTCAACACCTTGTCTCTTCCCTCCTCTCCCTGCGCTTGCGCCTGCGCCTGCGCCTGAGCGGCGTCGTCGCGCTGCATGGCTCGGATCCTCTCGATCCTCTCTTCGGCCTTGCTGACCGCATCCCTCACCACGTCCTCCCTCTCCTCGATGGCCCGGCGCCGCTTCATCTCAATATCCGGCACAAGGGTGGCGAAAAAGAGGACGAGGGGCACGACGACGTGGTGGAACACGCGTCCGCGTCGGCGAGTGCGGGCGGCGGGGCGGGGCGAGCCGAGGGGCGGGAGCAGACCCAGGTCCTCGTCCTCCGACTCCATGCCGATGTAGGCGATCCGCTCCAGCCAGTGCTCGACGCTCAGCAGCGAAGGTTCCGACGTCGTGTACCGCCGTGGTGCGTGCACCGGGGGCAGGGGAGCGAGGGGATCGTTCGTCTCTCCCTCGCCGGTGCCGGTG